TTTTTTTTTTTTTTGTATAATTTTCTTAAGAAATGTAATTTTCATGATCATAATCATATTCAATGCTATGAAGTATTGATTTTAATAAATATTATTTCAATAGAGAAAATAGATACAAGAAAAAGGGATTGGCAGTAGTTCCAACGAAATTTGGTATTTCTTTCACTGTACTGTTTTTGAATCAGGCAGGGGCACTTATACATGTTTATACGGACGGTTCTGTATTAATTAGCCATGGCGGCGTTGAAATGGGACAAGGTTTACATACAAAAATGATACAAGTAAACTTCATTCGTTTTTCTGTTTTGATGTCGCTTAAATTAATATTCTCATTTTTTATATATTCGTCAATAATTTAACATTAGTTAATTTTTAATTATTTCACATTGAATATTTTGTTTAATATTTTTATAACATTACATAACTTTTCTATTAGTTGTAAGTAACATATATTTATCATGTGGTACTTATTTTCATATATTATAGTTTCTTCATTTTCTGTTTAATATTTAGGTAGCAAGCAGATCATTAAAAATAAAACCAGATAAAATACACATAATAGAAACCGCTACTGATAAAGTACCAAATACATCTACGACAGCAGCTAGCGCTGCTTCAGATTTGAATGGTATGGCTGTTATGGTATGTAAAATTAAAAATTTGAATAACCTTCTTTCTTTTCTATTAATTTACGACTAATAATGACTTTAAATGTTGTAAAAAAAATTTCAGAATGCCTGTAACGAAATTATGAAACGATTAAAGCCAGTGATAGATAAGAAACCAGATGGAACATGGGAAGAGTGGATAAAAATGGCTTATTTAGAAAGAATCAGCCTTTCTGCTACCGGATTCTATAAAACTCCTGATATCGGATACTCATTTGAAACTAACACGGGAAATCCATTCAATTATTTCACATATGGAGTTGCATGTTCTGAAGTAGAAATTGACTGTTTAACTGGAGATCATCAAGTAAATATAATATACATGAAGTTAGTTATAAGTTTTGATTTATTTTAGTACTTAAACATCGATATTTACATATAGGTATTGCAAACTGATATTGTAATGGACCTAGGTGAAAGTTTAAATCCTGCAATTGACATAGGACAAATAGAAGGAGCTTTTGTTCAAGGATATGGTTTATTTACACTAGAAGAATTGGTATATTTGAGAAATGGAGCTCTTGCTACGAGAGGTCCAGGTGCATATAAGCTACCTGGTTTTACAGATATTCCCGAAACATTTAATGTGTCCTTATTAAAAGGAGCCTCAAATCCCCGAGCTGTTTATTCATCTAAGGTAATATATTCTTAAAGAATTTGAATTATATTTATATTTATCATTGTTAATTTTTCTATTATTGTCATTATTATTTTAGGCTGTAGGAGAACCACCGCTATTTCTAGCATCTTCTGTGTTCTTTGCAATGAGAGAAGCTATTAAATCTGCGCGTCAAGAATATGGTCTGAAAAGTTATTTCCAATTAGATTCACCTGCAACTGCTGCCCGTATTCGATTGGCATGTGTTGATGAACTTACTGAGAAAGTAAATTATACTTTTTGTATTTCATATAAACTTATTGATAGTATTGATAACAATTTATATTTATGTACGTTATGTTGCAGATTGCAGAACCAGATATACAACGTCAGTGGAATATTGTTGCATAAAAGTTTATATAACGAACTAAGGAATAAGTACTATCATTTTTCCATATATTAATATATTCTAAATGTACAAATAGTTATTTTTAAAAACTAGTCTTATTCATTTTAAATTCACTAAAATTGCTTTTTGTAGGCAATTTTTTTTTTTAAATTTTGGAATATTATTAAAAGCCTAAGAAATGTATTCTAGTTGTATAAAAATATGATTGAAGTCCAATAAGCTTAATATTTAATATTATCAAATATCTATTAATATTCTGTAATACAATCAATTTGCAAAAATTGTAATTTTAAATGTACGTTGTTAGAATTTCAGATATTTTATACTAATCAAATGTTGAGGTTTTTTATCAATTGAACAAAATTGCTCAATTGGCAAAATATGCGATGCGCAAACCATGTTAAGACTTGATTGTAATAGCATTATTTAAGGATGTATACGGATAAATGTTAAATAAATTAAATTAATTTATCATTAACTACAATTTGATGATTGACGTTATATTAACATTAGAAATATACAGTTTCACTTCTAACCAATATTAGTGATTGAATTGAATATATGTAATAACTTTTTTAAACACTGCCCATTATAAATCGTAGATATATTTAATAAAACAAAAATAAATATAAAAGCTATTAATAAAATATAAAGCTTATTGTGTTCTTTATCTGATAATTTCTGGATGATGCTTCTTACTATGCTTCCCGCCAAAAATATATGAGAATATGTTATATGAGTGCATCCCAATCGATAGATCGATAATGTGAAAAATTATATCGATTGCTCAACGATGTCGCAGCACAGATGAGCTAGTCTGTGACTCCGGTTTTTTCGAGATCGGTATTTCAGAATGTGAAACACGAAATTCAATATAGTGTTATGTCTATCTTGTTCTTAGTTCATGGTCGAACTGTGAATCGTGGAAGTCGACGGTCGGCATAGTAGAGAAGCATATCGATACATATATACGCGGCGCCAAATGCATATGAATTAAATTAATATTTGCGTATTATAAAAATATATTATTATATACGAGATGTAACAATTTTAAATGATAAATAATATACTTAATTGAATAACTGATAAATAATATACTATATCAAAATCGTCTCTGATAAAATATAAATATAAAATATAAATATAAATATAAATATAAAAATAAGCATTGAATGTGAAATAGAAATAGAAAAAAAAATGAAATAGAAATAAAGCTCTTTTCTGAACATCAACTAATATTAATTATCAACTATTTGTTTCAGATTAATAAAAATGACATTATTCTATCAGCTCTTAAGCAGTTTTCCTACTTTCCTCATACTTGGAGTTAACATACTAACAAGATTACTATGTGAAGAAAGAATAGTTTATGCAAGGTT